CAACGGGAGTGATGAAGAACACTGCAGTGGAGGTAGGGAGGAGACAGTGCTGGGATGACAAATGCCCACCCATGTGCTTGAACCAAGGCTGTCTGTAGAGTGCTTTCCACATGGGACATACGGGCACCATCTGGGAGTTAACTCACCCAGCCTCCTCACAATGTTTGTGAGTTGTTTATTTGTTCAGGAAATTCCCTGTCATCATGGAATGATAAGGGGAACTTATGGAGTTCCCCTAAGCTCTCTGCTGCCCTTTCTCCTCATTTAAAGGGCTTCAGGCTGTATCTACAACCTGCTGCCCTCTCTCAGCTTTGGCTTTCCTTCCTTTTTGCAGGGGTCCCCTGCGGTCCTTTCACCTACCGCTGTGAAGATGGGACCTGTGTGAAGAAACCCAACCCCCTGTGTGATACCACTGCAGACTGCAAGGACCTGTCTGATGAGAATCACTGTGGTGAGGAAACAATCAGCCACACATCAGCCAGCCAGGTTCAGGATGACACGTAGCTGCAAGTTGCCCCGTTTTCTCCCACCAACCAGAATAAGCACCCACCCTCCCTTGTTCCACCACCTTCTCCCCACCTCAGTCCCACAGTACCAGTGGCCCTGCTCCATCCTGCAGTGGCAGGGACAGCAACAACTAGCCAGTTCTGTGCTGAGTGTGAGCAGGCACTTGCTCTTTGGACAGCTGCTCCCTGCCTCCTTCAGGCAGAGGCATCAGGCCAGACAGACATGTCTCACAGGCCAGGTTCAACCCGCAGGCCGCCGGTTTGACCACTCTGTCAGCTTATGTGCCGTTGTACAAGGCTCCAGCCAGAAAAATCACCCATGTCTGCATGGCCACTGGCAGGGAGAGAGTTAGTGTTTTGATTTCCCTACTTGTTTTTTTTTTCTGGAGCCTCAGTAGGCACTGAAAGGCACAGCAGTTAGCACAATCAGCATGTTGCCCCAAAGGCATCCCCAAGCTGCAGCTGAAGGTGAGGAATGCTGAGAGGGAGTGCTCACTAGACCTGTCCTGAGCAGTACATAAAGCCTAGGTAAGACAAGAAATTAGAGGTCAAACTCTTCAGTCAACTAAGTAGGAAAGGAAGGGCAGGCACGGTCTCTCATGTTCCCTTTCTTCCCTGAAGTACCTGCTGTGTCTCCTCCTCAGACTGCGGAATGCAAGCCCCTCTCAGCAGGATTGTGGGTGGTATGAATTCTGTGGAAGGGGAATGGCCATGGCAGGCCAGCCTGCAAGTTCGGGGCCGCCACATTTGTGGGGGAACACTCATTGCTGACCGCTGGGTGGTCTCAGCTGCGCACTGCTTCCAGGATGAGAGGTAAATGGAGAGGGGAGGTGCTGGATAGAAAGATTAGCATTGCTTTCCATGTCATCCCTGACTGGAGGCTTCTCTGACTGATGAAAATGTCATGGGGCAGCTGCACCCCTCCTCTGGCACCTCAGCCATGTTTGGAACTGAAGAAAGGGGTACGGATACATGCAGTATTAGCTGGGGGTGTGTGCAGGGGAAAAGGGGCAATCCTGGGATTGACAGAGCAGCTTTGAGGGGGCAGTGATAGCAGAAGATGCTGCACAGCTCCACCTTTGTTTTGGCTCTGTGTTGTCCCCACGCTGTCAGAACGATGGAGATGTCAGCATGTGCTAGGATGGGTGTAGCACTGCCAGCAAGGAGTGCCGTTTGTGTCCCATGCTCCTCTGCTGCATCCTACAGGCTGGCCTCCCCCTCCATCTGGACCGTGTACTTGGGCAAATACTTGCAAAATGCCACCGGCCATACAGAGGTGTCCTTCAAGGTTATCCATCTCTTCCTCCACCCTTATTACGAGGAGGACAGCCATGATTATGATGTGGCCCTGCTCCAGCTGGATCATCCGGTGATCATCTCGCCCTTAATCCAGCCCATCTGCTTGCCTGCTCCTTCTCACATCTTTGAGCCCGGCCTTCATTGCTGGATCACTGGCTGGGGAGCCCTGAAGGAAGGTGGTAGGTTCAAGGTCTCTTGGTAGCCTACTGCAGCAGTGCTGAGGCAGAAACATAGGGTCAGATGTGTCATAGGCAGAACAGACTTCTATTAATGCCAAAACATTGTGCCTCCTTCACTCCTTCTGATTTTGGGTAATAGGTTGACCAAAGTTACTTGTCAAGTGCCCTGAAACCTCATATGGAGAGGCAGGCATGGCAGTGTGGTAATCTGTATGCGGACAGCGTGTGTTTCTTCGTCCAAAGACTAGAACAGCCCTTCAGGTCAGCTTAGTGCCTTCGCCCACTCACAGACTTGTTCAAGCTGCTTCCTAATTGGAAACACTCAGCAGACTATACAGAACCGGACACTCCTGGTTTGTACTCTTAGACACAAGAGCTTAACATCTATTTCAGTGAGAAACAAACCCAAAACTCTGACAACCCAGAGGTTTTCCCAGAGCAGAATACTCCTTGTCCCAAAAGCTGAAGTGCCCACAACATATCCCTGTAGGGAAAGGAATGAAGGGGAATTTTATGCCTTCCAAGCAGAAAAAGTGCTCTGATGAAAGTCAGAGACTGTAATGCCAGTGGAGAGCAGAACAGAAATTCCAATGGCAGGTTTCAGCATGAAGTGAGGTAGGCGTGGGCTAGGGGAAGTTCCACCATAGCTCACCTGTGCTCTTTTGGTGCTCTGCTTTTCAGGGCACATCAGCAATGTTCTGCAGAAGGTGGACGTGCAGCTCATCCAGCAGAACATCTGCAGCGAGGCTTATCACTACATGATTACTCCCAGGATGCTGTGTGCTGGATACTACCAGGGAAAAAAGGATGCCTGCCAGGTGAAAGAGGAGTTGTGGGATCAGGGTTGACTGCCAGAGGTGGAATGTATCCCAAGTCTCACAAATGCAACCCACAGCCTGAAATGAGGGGGGAAAGACCATATAAGGTCACTTTCCCAACACTTCCTCTAAGTGGCCAACAGCTCTAATGACCACTTCTTCCCAGCACCCTTGCCTTACACAGGATCCAAATACAGTTAAATTATCCTTTTCTCACTTCAGCCCATTCTCCACTCTACCTCCCACTTTCAAGTCAGGTGACTACATCAGTCTCTTACACCCTCAGCCTCTTTAGCACCTGTCATACACAGTAACCTGTCTCTTCCTCCACTGCTATCAATCTCAAGGAATTCCTCTCTGCCATCCCTCATGGGAACCATTGGAATTGTTAAATTTCAGCAAGCTTCCTTGCTTGCCACATATTTGGAAATGCCATATGGACCAGGAGGAATCAGTAGAGCAATCAGCTTTTTGGGACCTGGCTGAGGGGGAGGAATTTGCATGATGAAGAAGTAACTGAGTCAGATGTTTGCACTGGAGACTGTTTTTGACATCTGCCTAAGGTACAAGGAATGTTGCAGATGTCCCAAGCATGAGTTGAGGGGATCCAGGAATCTGTATACAGAGAGGCTCAAAGCAACAGAAGCTGATGGACCACCATCACTTCATTTTACTTTTATTTTTTCTAGGGTGATTCTGGAGGTCCACTGGCCTGCAAAGAACCCAGTGGCAGATGGTTTCTGGCTGGTCTGGTCAGCTGGGGAATGGGATGTGCACGTGCAAACCACTATGGAGTATACACCAGGATCACTCAAGTGCTGGGCTGGATGAACCAAACCATGAGCTGAGAAAAGTGCATCTCTCTATCTCTGTACATCATCTGATGTATCCCCATCACACCTACACTCACATGGTACTCATTCCTGATCTTGCTCACTTGCCTCTCAGAGAGAGTGTGGGATGTTGTCAGACCCAGGATGCTCTTCTGAACAGGGTAAAAAAGGCTGCTGCAGGGATTGTAGAGAAAAGCAGGCAGACCCTCTTCCCCATTAGTGCTTCCCAGGGAGCATCCCAAGGGGTTTTTTTGGCCATCCATCCAAAAGCGGGGAGAAGAGAGGCAGGTGAGGGAGTTGGGGGGCGATGACATGAAACACAGCAATAGTCCCAAGCTGATGGTTTCTGAGAAGAGGAATAAGGGGAGCTGAACTTTCCATGAACCATGTGATTCAGCCACAGTCTTATGCTGGAACATTTGCTGAAAGAAAATGTGACTGATGTAGTTAGAGATTCCAGTAACTGTGAAATCAATCTGCCTCCCTCTTCCTTCCTGCTGCTTATCCTTCATCCCCCTTCCCCTCCCATCACTCCTCCTCTTCCATCTCCCTAATTGCTTCTTTTCTTAGCTGGCGTGTGCTGTTCAGTTGCTGTTCAGCTCAGCCAGGCAACTCTTCACGTCTCACTGACTCCCAGGCATGAGTCCAGCATCGCACCCCCAAGCACGTGTCCTGCCTCCCTGCTGGAGCAGCACCCAGCCTCCACTGCTGCACTTCCCCCAGTAAAAATGCTGGAGCAGACTCCCATCCCCTTCCCTCAGCCCTTCTAAATACCTTTAACATCAGGGTGTCTCAAGCTCTTCCATCTCCTATCTCAGGTAATCCAGGAGGTGAAGGAGAAGGCTTCAGGGCACAGGGCTTAAACTGCAACTGCTGTGGTTTGATTTTTTAACTAAAGATATACGTGTGTGTATGTTTGTGTGTGTGTGTGTGTGTGTGTAATAATGGGCACTCTCTGGAATCAGAAATAAAATTGAGGATTTTTTTGGCTCTTGTTTGCCTCACCCTGCTAAAAATTATCTTGAGGTTTGTATGTTTTTGACCAAACTCCATTCCTGACACTGGCAAATGGCAAGAGTTTCCACAACCCTGCCCACCTCCCCTCCCACCCCAGATGTCCCTGGAGTAAACACATTCACTAGACAGGTGGTCCTCACTAATTGTTATGATTCAGGACCTGCAAACCTGCTCTGTAGCCCAGCTGCCTGCAGTGGGGATGCAGCACAGACACAGTGGGAAGCACCTCCAGCCCCCCGAAGACAGGCACAGAACAAGCAGATTCTGGTGGCTCCAGGTGATGAATCCAAACTCCTTTTCTCCAACTCCCACCCCCTTACAGCAGGAATGAATTTTTACCACTTGAAATGAGAGGCAGCAAGGAGGAACAGACTGTGAATTTTATTCAGGAGTCTTCAGACACAGCAGTGAAGCAAATGCCCCGCTCCCCAAAACTGGGATCTGCTTGGTGGTGGCTGACACAACATCAGGTACCAGCATGTTCCTGGTACCCAGGCAGCACACCATTCTCCTTCTCACACTGCTGGCACAGAGCTGCTTTGGGGGACAGGGAGGGAAGCACCAAGGAACGTGATACCCAGCACAGAGACACCTCCGAGTGATACAGGAGGCCCAGAAAAGGATGGTGGCTCTGCATTTGTCCCCAGGCCACAAGCCCACACTAGTTGCCTGCAACAGTGAAAGGGCAAGGGCTGGTCCTTCCACAGCTGCCACCACCTCGGTCCCCATCTGCATCCAGCGTGCTCGGGAAGGGACCGCAGGCTGCAGTGGCTGATCGCTGATGTCCCCACCAGGGGCCACTGTGACATTAAGGAAAGCCAGACTACCAGGCATAGGAGGGGGCCGTGGGCTCCCGCTCCTACAGCAGCTCAGGGGCTCCATGGAGCATCTGCCCTCCTCCAGGGCTGGAAGCTCAAGCCTCCGAGGTGAGTTGGTAAAAAAAAAATGGTTGCATGTCAAGAGTGTAGAGGGCTGGGGGCGTCACTGTGGGACAAGGGGCTGCCATACACTGCAGTACAAAAATAAAGATATAAACAAGAAATGAAAAGGCTGGAGTGGAGTGTTCAGATCACATCCTCAGATCTCTGGCTTGTAACAGCTAGAGAAGGAGAGAGAAAGAGAAACACAATCAGTGGTAGGAAAAAAAAGCAACTGAGCATGGAGGGGAGAGTGAGAAACAGAAAAAGGTAAATGACAGAGGAAATACAAACATAAGAAAAAGAAAAGAAATGAGGGTGGGAAAACAGAATAGAAGGAAGAAAAAGTCCATGTGATTAACATACACTGACTCTTGAGATAATAACACTCAGGTCCCACAGCCATAGACAAGGCGGCTGTCAAACAGAGGGAGAGAGAAACGTCAGCCAGCTAACAAGTGCCCTCCATCAGGACTGGTGGAGATTGACACTGAACACCTCCAGTTTAACAAGAGCCTCACAGTTTTGCAGTATGGAGAGGAATCCTCCTTCTAGCCCCACACATGCCGGCCAGCCAGCCTTCCTAAGCAGGAGGCAGAGCGGAGAGGCTCATTTTGCACACAGCTGTGTGAACATCTGCAGTGGGGACCAGCTGCTTCTGTTCTGCCTTTGCCACCTTTCCCACTGCGCTCTCACCCTGGCAGAGCCAGTGGGGGAAAAGCCCAGGGAAGTGAGAGCAGGAAAGGAAAAATAACAGGCTGCCTTGTGCAAACTGCCCAGGCTGGCAGGCAAAGGAGCTGCGGACAGCAGCCTGGAGAAGCGATCTGGCATGCGTGTCACGCAGACACGTGGCAAAAGTCCACCCCTTCCCCTAACCACCCTTGCCTGCTTTACATTCATTTCCACCTCTCTCCCAGCTGCACTCTCCTTTCTGCTGCCAGAGCCTCTGGTCCACAGCCATAGGATCTGCTTGGCAGGTAAAGGCATGCATAGGATGAGAATATGTAAAGCCACCTTAGGGATGAGTCAACCTCACACCTCCCTCCTTCCCCTCCCCAAGCTCTACAAACCACGGCCATACCCACAAGAGGGAAGTGAGTCACTCATGCAGAGCTCAGGCTGGCAGGAGCTGGGAGTGCAGACAGGTAACATACCTGCAGAGGAGGAAAAGTGAGGAGCAGAGAGAGACAGGGCCCTGGGCAGAGACCACTCTGAGCCCTGGGGGACAAAGAGAGCAGAGGGAAGGATGCTGGAGGCTGGCGAGTGGGGCAATGTGGGAGGTAGATGACAGTGCTGGGATGGACACGGAAGGGAGCAGGAGGGAGGGTCCGCAGGAAGAGAGTTTAGCACAATCCCGAATAGATGGACAGTCTGCAAATAAAAATAAAACCGTAGATAAACCAAACAGTTCAAAATACAAAGCAGCAGCCATGGTAACAGCTCTCCCCTATCAGCTTTATCTCCAGAGAGACTAACTCCTGGAGAGGACATCCCCCACACCCCACACCTGTTCTAGTCCTTCCCTGATGCTAGCTGTGAGCTCTCACCAGAAAGGTGGACGAGTCTATGTCTGGGGGGTTATTTTTATCATTTTCCTCAGGGATTTGCTGCACCTTTCTCCTCTGCTTCTGCTTCTGCCTCTGCCTCCTCCTCCACCTCCTGCTCTTCCTCCTCCAGGTCCTCTGTGTTCTGTAGCCCAGCATGTGGGACAAAAGGAAGAAAGAGTGGAGATACTTGCAAGATGAGCCATGGCAGTTCTTTCTGACACACAACGGAACAAAGCAATTGTCATAACATTGGAATAAAAAGGGACCATGGCCAAGACAATTCTAGGTCAGGGAACAGAGAGGCTTGTTTCCCTCTGGACTATCACATCAGGGTACCTAACCCACTTACCAAGTGCTGTGACCCCACCGCCCAACAACTGCCATCAGTTGCTAGTGTTCCTTCTTGCATCCTGGGTGTCTAAAGGATGTCATGCACTGCTACATGTTTCTGTCCTTCCCTCAAAAGGGGAGCAGGAGATATCTGCCCCTCAGGCTGAGACTCAGAAAAAGGAAAAAGAATGCTGCAAAACCTTTAGGGAAATAATGCCCTATAGGCAGTGACACACACAGAATGGGCATGAGGAGGCATGAGGGGGAATGTTAGAGTAGCATGAGAGGTGCCAGGGTGACTTGCTAAAGCCATTTGCCACACACAGCCACACACCACCCCACCCCTCCAACACACACACCCCTCCTTTTGGGCAACGGGTGTAATGCCATGGTGCTGAACACCAGGACTGGCCCCTGTATTTCACCACTGAAGTGCCCACTGTCACAAGGGAGAGAGAAAAGAGAGAAGGAGCAAAGAGCAGAGGATCTTATACGCAATGGGAGCAGGGCCATAGCAAAGTTAATCTCACCTTGGTTTTGTGGCTGGGCTCAGAACTCAGGCCATTGGGGGAGTTGTACAACTCCTTGGAGACCACACAGAGGAATTCTGTCTGATCCTCATTCCCATAATTATAGGATGAGCCAATGTTCACAAGCTAGAAAAGATGAGAGCAAGAATCACAAGTATATATCCCTGAAAACACCCATTCCACCTGGGGAGCAAGGCAGAAAGCCCACCATGCAGCACTGAGTCCAACCCATAATCCCAGTGGAGAGACCTCATAACTAAGCCAAGGTGACAACACAGAGAACCAGGAGATACGTTATCCAGGATGCAAAACAGACAGGCCTCACACAGTATCGTCTAAACCTCTAGAAAGGGGCAAGAAAGAGCCAGTGTGATGGCTGAATCAATGACTTACCCAGTATTCTCAGAGCAGGAAGGAGCCTTGCCTGGAAACTGTATGGTATTCATGATCTTTTCCCCAAAAGACAGCTCCTTCCCCCCCTGCTCTGCCTTATCCATACCTGCTCAAAGCGCCATCCATCTGACATAGTGGAAACCATCTGAGTGAGCTCCTCTTCCTGGCACTGCAGCACACGGTAGACATGCTTAGGAGGCACCTGAGAGCAAAATTGCAGAGCATGCTGACAACCATCACATGCTAAAAGCTGTTCCCCTGCTGCAGAATGAAGTGGTAATACCCCTCCTTGACAGACCTGTCCTCTTCCCCATGTCCCAGGTGAAAGGGGAGTGGAAACCACAGTCCAGCATTCTCCTGTGCTGTCACTGGAGGCAAGAACGGTATCTCTTCTGGAGAGCAGGGACTAAGCTGAGTGCTTCCTGCATTGTCCCCAGAAGATACTGCCCACTTTTGATGGGGGGTTTGCAGTTATCATTACAAAATTATTTTTGCAAACACAACAAATGCTGATGGGGCTTTGCAGCACAAAGTGACTGTGCTGCCAGAGGCTTATAACATGAGGCAGACAAGATGAAAAGTGATATAGTAGACAATCTTCTCTGAAAAAAGATTTTCAAAGGTTGCTGGCCGAGACAGGCCAGCAGATTGTGCCACAGGATTGATTCCTTGTCTGCATTTAACTCTTTTACAGCCATCCCTTCACCATTTTCCTCCAGATTTCTTTACAGGTATTACCATGTTCTTCATTGTGATTACACTCCCAGGACTCCCCACACCAATCCTCCTCTCCATGACACCTTTGCTCTCTTCACAAACATTCCTCTCTGTACCAGAGCAACCAGTTGCCTTCTTCCAAAAGCTAGAGAAGTTAACTTAGTTTCAGGGGCTACATCCAGCATTACTTCTGGGATGCAAAGCAAGCCTGCAATTTATTTATTGTAACTAAATTGGTGGTAACTTGTCCCCTGCAAGATTTTGCTGCATAGGGATTAGCACATTATCTCTAATTAGTTGCTTCCTTCCATTCCTTGCTGCTTCCCTCAAATCTTCTCTCAGTCTAGACTCATCTCTCTCCTGTTTTACACACCCTACTTTCCCCTCTCTATTTTGCCATACCTGTGTCACTGTGTAGTCCTTCTCCTCCATTCGATCCTTGATTATTCGGATCAAAGGACCAATGTTATAGAACTCAGCTTCTTCAAGGATCCCTGAGAAAGACAGAAGGAAGGACCACAAAGACAGAAAGCTAGCAGCCCATCTTTATTTTTCAACTTGCAAAAGATGAATTCTGAGCTTCACAAGGTCCATAGGGAGAAATTATATTACTGCCTTACTTTTGAACAAGCTTGAAACTCTTACTGCAGAAAATTGAAACTTGGCTCTCTGCATCTTGTTTCTAATGCACATCCCAACTTCCTTATGCTGCCTGCTACTACAGAAACAGGCACTGCCAGTGAAGTCTTGCACTGAGGACTGCTAATACCTTTCCCAGATACCTGGCCAAGGGGAACAGCTGTAAGCTCCAGTCTCTCTCAATGACCACTTGTTATCACCTTGCTCAGACTCTCTTATTAAGGCAGAGGACCACAACTTATGGTTCTGACAAGTCACCAAAAGACCCTAGGAAAGCCTAACTTACCTCCTGGGCCACTTGGAGTTGCAGTCCCATATGACTTTATACGATCTTTGGCTCTCTTCCCTGTGCTTCAACTCAAAACAGGTAAACAAAAAGGTTTTTTGTTTTTTTCTCTATGGTGCCTGCATCTAGCACCTCTCCTGAGACTCACCTGTTTGCTAACAGGCCTTCAGAAAAAGGGAGGTGGTTCCCAGAGGGTCAGTGAGAGAAAGGTAGCTGGAAGCCAACACTCACATGTCCCCAGGGCAATACAAAGAAAATATAGATGGGAAGATTGATCCTTTACTACCTGACACACTCACACCTCTTCTGTGTCTCTCATTCAGCTATGAATTGTCTAATGGGTTAGTTTTATGCCAGTCTGAATGTTTGCAGCAGGAAAAAAAAAAAAAGGCAATGCAAATGAACTGGACTCCTGCTTGTGTTTCAGATTTGTTATTAAAACCTGCAGATGAACTCTGTATGACCTCAGGATTACAAGAAATGTCAAGTAGGAAACACCTCAAAATTGTGTTTATTACAATCCTATACCATTAGTTTGGTATATTTTTGGAATTATAACTGATAAGACTATTCTGAAGAAAAATTTCCTTGCTTTAGGTAAAAATGTGTAAGAAAGGCAAGAAGACTAATGACCATGCAGAAACTATGCTTGGCAAGAGCTGTGCAGCACAGCCTGTATTTCAAATTGGCTCCTTATTAGATCCTAACATCCAAAAAATAACAAGGCACTGTGGGCTGCTGGCTAGTAACACTGTGATGTCACCAAGTCATCCTCTTGGATGTCAACCCACTGTCAACCTCAAATGAGGGATTGGATTCTCTGACTTGCTCCACTGGAATTTCTGCGGTCCACAACCCATGAGAGCACAGGCAGCATACAGTGCATATCACTGATTAATGATGGTCTTTATTACAATCAGTAGAAGACATGAGCTCGGTTTTGTTTGGTCTACTGGGCTTTCATTCCTAATTAGAAACAGACATTAATAGAAAACTCAGTCTCAGAGCCTGGTTGGAGGTAGATCAGGAACAAGTAAAAAATGGCTTATTGAGGCTCTGAGATCTTGCCTACCTCTGCCTTGGTGACATCTCTGCTGGACAACACCTGCAAGGACATCTTCCTCACCTACTCCAAACCCCTTTAGTAAAGGAGATATTGTCATGCTTTGCAGGGATAGCTCTCTGAAATCGCCCCACAATAACATCCAAAAGGAGAACAAGAGACAACAAGGTTGACCACAAGCCCTATTTTTCCTGACTGTGGTAAGAGGGATTTTTCTGAGCTCCACAACTCACCCTCTTCAGCCATATCTTTATCGAGGACCAGCTTCCCATGACGGAGGAAATTCAGAATCGGTCCAAAGTAAGTGGGGTCTCGATCTATTAGATATGCACCAGTTTCATCCTAGCAACAGAGACAGATCACAAGGAGAAAAAACCCAAGGAAAACTTTTAACCAGCCCTCAAATGCCCTAGAATACAAGAAAATACAAACCTAAGCAAAAATATCCACTATTTCTGAGATTCTTTGGAAACCATGGGTCCCTGAGAGTCCCTAGCCAAGTCAGTCCACCTTGGATTTTAACTCCTGTATTGGTCTGCTCAGCATGCCCACCTCAGTATGAATCAATCCAGATGAAAAAGCCCAAAAAATAGGCCTCAGTCTCTCTGTGCAACTCTGCATCCAGGCCTGGTGTGAGAGAGCAGCGATCCCCTTACAGGGACAAGGCTGAGTCAGGCAGACACAGCTGGGAAGTAGACCCAGGATCTGGGGTGGGTGACAAAGAGGAAGGAGAGCAGGAGCAGAGGGGAGATGGCCTCTCCTTTCCCCAGCTCGGGAAGGCAGGTGCCAGGCTACATCAAGGTGGAATCTGGCATGGGGAAGTCCTTCCCGGGAGAGGGGGGATAAAGAGCAGGCGTTTCTCACTCAGTTGCTCCTGCAGCTGCCGGGGTCCGGCTCCATCCCTGCGTCCCTCCAGCCCTCCCCATGCTCGGTGGGGCACGGTGCGGGAGGCAACCCAGCTGCCTTACCCGGTCCGACTGCAGCTCCTCGCCCTGGCACAAGCGACACAGGAAAGATTTCTGCTCCCGACACAGGGTCTGCCTGGTGGTGAGGAAGACGGTGCCCCCCACATTGAGCCTCACCCACTTGGCCTGGGTGCCAGCGGGTGGCGGGATGTCCCAGGTACAGCGTAGCCCCACGGCGCCCTGCATCTCCTCCCTGCCCTCCATCCTCATCCTCACCCCCACCTCCCCCACGGCGTGCAGGGACTGCCGCAGGTGCTGCCTGTCGGAGAATGCCGGGATCTGTAGTTTATCTGCCTCTCCCTCCGCAGCAGCCGTGTTTCCTGGGGGCTAGATCTTCCCTGTGACTACCGAGGGAGTCCTGAGAAGAGGAAGGTTGCTCGGTGCTGGAGGCTATCACTGAGGCTATTGAGGTGGGCAAAGTCACAGCTCCACAGCGCTGACACTCCCTGGCTTTTCCTCTGTTCCCGTTTGCACAGACTAGGGCCGGTCAGCACTCCGGAGGTGCAGGGTGTTATGCAAAACTCGTCGGCATTTATTTCCACAGACATCCTCTCTGGCTCATTAAAAGCTTCTGGGAACTGTAGTTTCGCGGGGACATGCACAAAAGGGTGATGGGAACTGTAGTTTCCCCAGCTTGCTGTTCCTGCAATGAGGATGCTATAAAGAAGGGGACTGCACCACACGACCCCAGCCCTGCGGCTGGTCCTCTGCCTCCTTCCAGTCCCGGCTCTTGTCTGCAAGCTTCCTCGGAGGCAGGAGGCACAACCTGCTCCCTGCCAGTCGGCAGATTAAGCCCCTCAGCGCTGTACTTCACAGCATTCCCTTCAGGACATCCATTACCTCAGGCTCACCGCTCAGTGCCGCAGCAGTTGCCATACTTTCTTGCAGCAAAATATGCAGACTGTTGCCTTCTTGCTAACATATGTAGGGACATTCTGGGAACTATAGTCTGCATCCACATGAAGTGCTGGCAGGGGGCAGGAATAATTTTTCTTCCAGCTCAGAGGTGTTGCTGACTTAGCAAAGTCTCCCCTCCCTGTGCTGCTCTACCTAGTAGAAACCCCCCACATCCTTCCCCTGGGCTCCTGCAATTCCTGTTTGTGTCTGGGCAACAGAGTTCAGACTAACTCAGCTCTGTGTGGAGTTTTACCTCTGCCCCAGGAACGTATCACCCGCTGCCAATCCCGTGTTGTGAGTCTAGTCCTGCCCCTGCCACTCGTTCCTGCCAGGCCGAGCCTCAGTGCTCAGCAGTTCATGCCCCAGGAGACTCTGTTCAAACAAACTCCTTGGCACGGACAGAACCTGAACAAGCTCTCTCCAACAGAGAAGCTCTGCTTTTCCCACTCCCACCTGAGCACAGCTGTGCTTGCCAGCAGCTTGAGCACATTAAGAATGAAAAGCTGGTGTTTCACCCCATTGTGGCTCAAAAACCTTCCTCCACCTAAGCAACTTCCTGGCTCTTCCTTGACAGGGCAAGGCAGCACTGCAGAGACACACAACACTTTCTTTTTCTTGCATTTAGATCTTAGTGCCTTTTGAGGTGGGGGGGGTTTACTGAGTGAAGAGGCTGGCTAAAGAGAAACATTATGTTTTACTCCTACATTCCTTTTCTTCTTGTCCTTTATTCTTTTACTTGCAAATCACTCCCTTCTATCACTAAAGAAGAAGGCAGCATTGCCCTTCCCCCAAATCGCCCAGGATTTCCTTTCACAAAGATTGCACGTGTACTTTGCTCATTCTGTGGAGGAGTGCCAAGGGGAGGAGAGGAAAAGAGGGTAACACGGAAGAGGTTTCAAGATTGCTGACCTTCAGCTAAGTACAGGAACAATTCAGCTGCTCCAGAGTGTAAATTTAAATAATTTTGAATCAGCACTAGAGTGACCATTAACAGAGCATGAAAAAATATTTTTGTCTATCTATTTGGAGCGGGCTCTGGCCAAAATTACTGCTCAGCCCTGGGACCAGTCTCCACTGAGCAGTAACATGCATCAAAGATGCTCAGGCTAACAGTGACCCGGGCTAAAGTGTCACACAGCGCAGCACAGCTCTGGGTTGTCAGACTGCTGTCATCCTAATTCTGGCTCTGAGTCAAACCACAGCAAACTGGAGACCTCTGCCCTGCACTCTGGTGTGTGAGGACTGCAGGACCCTGTCTGTACTGGCTGCAGCTCCAGCACAGACAGAACTGGGCTGAGGACTATGGCTCTCCAATATGAATGCAGCAGTTGGGTGATAGCCTACAGCCCCTTTTCTCCCCCTCCAAGAAATGCGCCCTGCCTTCAATTTTTTTCCCTTTTACCACAGGATCACACTCTCCTTTTCCTCTTCTCACAGCCCCTCAATCTCTTTCTCCTTTCTAGGGTCCATCTCTTATTTTCAGCACCTTCTTTTCCAACCTCCCCCATGACAATGCTGCTCACAAGTCCAGGATGGTCTATATCCAAGGCATACTTTCTTCCATCAAACCAATCTCCACTTGTGACTGGAACCTCAAGTCTTGCTCACCCCAGGGCCACGGGGTGAAAAGTTAATTGCTAAATCTAAAGAGGTATATTGTGAGTAAGGAAACACATCAAGGGACATCTCTTCCAACACTAGGTCCTTTTTTTCTGCAATGTACAGCAAAAAAATCATTGAAAATGCACCAGGCCAGGGATTTCCCCACAGTATGTGAAAATTCTCTTTAGGAAGAAGCCAGTGTGGGGTGAGTTGCCAACTGAAATGTTCTGATGAGTTGGTGGCATGGGCTAAAAACAGACTTGATTGCACACTACAACCAGATGCAGTTGTGAGATGCAATTAATGTGCCCTTGTTAAGGTCCCCTAAAATCAAGCAATAGGTCACAGGAGAGGTAAGTTTAAACAGTTTATGGTGCTTGGACAAGGATTGGACCCGACCTGTCTGTTCTTTCCTAACCTTAATGTTTTATGGTTCTATGACTTGTTCCTGCTGCCTTTATGATAACTGCATATAAAACACATGCACAGCAATGGAGAGGAGAGCAAGCAAGAGCTTACACAGGGCTGTGTGATGGTGTAACACTGTACAGCCTTGCAAAGTCCTCAGTGAAATCATGGGGACCATTGCACAGATGGACTGAGAGCAGGAAAAACTTGACAGCCACTGGATACTGGGCTCAACAAGAGCTGAGGAGAACAGAGCAGGGGTAAACTGGGAGTGTCTTGGTTCAGCAGTCAGGTCTGCAATGCAATCCTGCAGAAGGCTTCACACACTGCAGTGCTCTGCAGCTTGGTGTGTGGAAAGCGATGCATCTCTGGCATTGTAGAGGTGAACTTATTGAACTGTTGTGTTGTGGAACAGCAGTGGGAGCAGAGGTCACCATGTGTTGGCACAGACAATGTCATCCCTCTGACAGGCTGGGAACACATATTGGGGATTACATGGCAGGAGGCACCAGAGAAGAAACCAGGAATAACAAGTTGGCATGTCCATGTAGGATCAGTGCCACTCTTTTTTCTTCAGGAGGTGGAGAGGGGAAGACAGGTGATGCTCTGACATTTTGCCAGTAAGCCAACAGTCAATTTGGCAAATAAAATCCCCTACACTGGATTTGGGGGTGGACACAGTTGAACAACAGAGTCCAGCTTGACTGCCAGCTGAACCAGGCATATTGGAGCGTGAAGAGAAAGGCCCCATGGCATACAGGCAAACTAATCTTCCTGCAGCTCCTTGTGCTGCATGAGGTCTGTGAGCAATGTACCTGCATTCAAAGCAGTGTGCAAAGCTTTGTGGACGTGCATCATGCAGCACCTTTGCTGGAACACTACTGGGAGAAGGAAACAGAATTGTTGTGTAGCACCTGGTTGTAAGCTGGGATCAGGAGAGATGGGAGGAATATGAAATGTCTCTGCAGGCAACACCAATTACCACAGCTCATGTAGTACTGAGGCCAGTGGTGCTGGTAGAAGAAGGGCTGCTTTAGAATTTAGAAAAATTTGCAGAGGAACAAAAAGCTTGCTGGGAAATGAAGCATGAAATAGTGCAACCTGACTGCTAGGGAGCAGTATGGAAGGAAGAGGAAGGCAGGTTACAAAGAAGACAAGTGAAGAACAGGGGACCATGGGATTACTTTTGACTAGACCAGACTGTTTCACAGAATCCAAACCTCCTTCAAGACAAAAGTGCAGATAGTAAAATATAAATAAACCAGTAAAGAGTTTATATGCTGGCCTGGGATTCTCAAATTTATACAGAGAGCTGTAAAAACTCTAGTCTCAGTTTAGCCACGTGTCAATGTAACCTTCCTCCTACATCAGGACTGTTATTTAGGCTACCTTTTTAGCTACCATGAGCCCTATTCCACCAAAGATATGCTATTCCAAATTCCCTGTGGCAAATTTTCCACAGGAAAGTAATGAACATTAGTGATTTGCTTTATATCCACTTCTCCCCAGCTTTAGGTTCCTATAGGAAACCCACCCACTGAGTCAGGGACATAAAGATCTGCAGAACATTTATAGTCCTGGTGTAAGTCCCCTCAGCTGTTCCATATGTCCAGTAGCATCTGTTATAGCTCAAAATAGGCTTTTGAAATCTCCAGGCTTTGAAAACATTGTCTCTGCCTTCACAACGTTCTCAGTGCTTTGCCTGCATCACCAGAACAGATCTCAACTAAAAGGAGGGGGAACTTCAGAAGACACTCTTGGATAGATTTTTGATACATAAGAGGGAATACCCCAGAAAAACAAAGTATCTTGCTGTGGGAAAGAAGATCTCAGTTTCTCCTCTGTGGAGAAAGCAAGGCAAAGTTAAGCATCTGGGAAAAGATTTGCCAAAAACTGGGAAGAATCACTGAGATTTTGTAGCGGAAAATTCAGCCCGAGAAGGGCAGCTGAGTACTGCCAAGCTTGGCATAAATACCAGAGAGGGGGAAGGGCCCTGCTAGATGTCATCGAGCACAGGGGTGAAATATAGAGCAAGGGGAGACAAAAGTTTTCCACTTAATTTGCAATCTCCAGGTGGACGGCTGGGCTTTGCTGCAGACATCCCTGCAACACACAGAACAGAGAAAAGCATCTCTGCCTCAAGAGGAAGCAGAGAGATTCCCACTGACCCCAACGACTGCTGGGTCAGTGGCAAAAGAGAAACACAGTGCTTAAGATGCATCAGAAATATCCTGGAAGTACCCACAAAAGCCAGCTCCCTGCATCTATTGCAAATAAATCTGAAATAATATGTCAATTTTCCTAATAACTAAATTTTCCTGGAGAAGCAGAGCAGGCAGAGCACTCATCTGGCCACATAATCACAAAATCAGCTTCTCTCTGTACTGAAGGGTCACTTGTTTCAGACTCCTGTGCGTACTATATACCCAGCACTTGCTGCAATGCCAGCCTCAAGTCCTTGAAGAGCTGGGTTGCCAGTCTGAATGCAAGCAGAGAAATTGCAGGCTGTCAGTCACTGGGTGGTCAGACCATATGTGTGAGGGGGGAGGACAGAGGAAGAAATAAACTGGACAGTGAAACTCCAGCTGCCCAGGAGGTGAGCAGAAACAGAGCTTGCATGCATGGAAGACAAGGCCAAGAAGAAGCAGCCAAAATGGGTAAGAGGAAATACAAAGAATAAGCACTCAGCAACAGGGAGGAATCCAGTCCTTTCAGTCAAATCTGTGACAATAAGCATCCACTGCATTCCCTGGAAAGGGCAACCCTATCATCCATAGATGTTTACAGGCACCTGTTGCTGCAAACCCAAGAGAAGAAACTGTCTCATTAACTTCTAAGTTACCAGTAGGCCAGAAGAGATGCAGATTTGTTTGCATTTTTTTACTGTGGGAGGTATCTGTGGGGTTGTTTTTGTTTAGTTTTGGGCATTTTTTGTAGAGGAGAAAATCCCAGAGAGAACAAATTCTTGAACATTACCAGGGATACCCCGTGTGCTTTCAACTTTCAGAAATAAAATAAAAAGGTCTTGGGCAAAAATAGGTGCCAGTGTGGGTTATTCCTCTGTAAGTCTCAGTTCTGCTAAGTTTTTAGGGGAAGGTTACATGGTAAGAACAATAATATCCATGCAGTACATTTTCCACTATGTAAGCTGACATCCAGTGTTTCAAGAACAGAGCTGTAACTGACAACTGTGGACTTCAAGGCAAAAAAGCAAATGGACAGGGACCAAAAGCAGGAAGATGGTACAGAGACCCAAGAGAGAGGCATGCCATTGTCTTTCCTGGGTCAAAGAGCTTGTTAAGGATAAGAGGTGTGGTTCTATTCTAAGAGAGAAGGAAAGATCTCATTTGAATCTCACACTGTGGATTCACAAAGTGATTCCATAAAAACAGAATTCTTGAAAAGGATTCACCCAAGCAACACTCACGGAAGTTCCATTCAGCAGAATGACCTTGAAACATGTTTATTTACATTGTTTAAATCCCAGAATATTTTCTTTTTCTCAAAGGGGATTTTGGACCATGGGGCTACAAGGCTGGCTAAGTACACACAGTAGTTAGAGCCCAAGTACGAGAAGAAATACAAATCAAGCCTCTAGCCTAAGTGCCAACCTGAATGCCATATTTGCTCCTTTAACAGCCATCTCTTTCCACAAAGTTTTGCACACAAAATGGCCATAATGTGCTTGGGTGGGACAGCAGCAGAGAGCCAGATTATGAGGCACATTTATATAAAAGTGTGACCACCCCAGTGAATATGAATGAACGTGACTGAATGTTTTGAGTCAGGAGCTTGGCTTAACTCAGTTCCCTATGCTGGCAGCAGCACTCTCTGCCGTCCATCTGATACGGTGAAATGGTCACAGAATCACAGAATGGCTGAGGTTGGAAGTGACTTTGGGAGGACATCTGCTCTACCCTATCTGCTCAAGTGAGGTCACCTAGAGCTGGCTGCCCAAAACTGCTGTCATCTTCATCCTCTTAAGCAGCGGCAGGGTAAGGACAAAGTGCCGAAGCACCGAAGCACCGTGTGCGCATGATTGTTATCCAATGCCTTCATCGCAAGACACTTAACCAGGAATGCTAAACCCATCCTTTCCAAATCCTGTTTCAAGGCAAGCTACATGCACAGCTGGGAAACAGTGCAGCTTATTACACTGTTTTCCCCTTTCCCTCAGAAATAATATTTTCAGGCTGTGCCCGCATGTACCATTCCACCCAGGCCCCGTCGTACACTGCGACATCTGGCTTGCCACAGAGGTAGGCCCCCAGAGCCACGTGGCACGCTGTGACTCCAGAGCCACAAGTGGCTACCACCGGCTTTAGGAGGTCCACCTTCTTCTCCTGGAACAGAGTGCGGATCTGCTCAGGCGTCTTCTCTAAGCCAGACTCTGTGAGGAAATCAGTGAAGGGGATACTCGTCGACCCAGGGACATGACCAGGCTCAATTCCTAGAGAAAAAACAATACAAACAGGAATTAACCTCTATTGTCTGGGACAAGTCTATTCCAAAGCCTCTTCTGTTTCACTGAGAGAAGTATTTATTGCTTAGTGTATTTTGTTAAAACAAGTACATTTATTTTTGTTACACTTTGCTTCACTAGATTACTGATAACTCAGGAAGGATGGCTCTATGTGTAACCTTCATGTTACCACATGGACACAACCCTGCCAAGTTCCACTTTTTTCCCTAGCTCCCTCCACATCTTTCTCCCCATCAGAGCAACCCACACTGACAAAGAACCTCCACAGGTCGCTCTGAGGGGAAGAGTAGCACCAGTACTTGAAGAGACAAATGAAGACTTTTGAGGTGTATCGAAAGCTAGCTCCTCACCCCAGCCCCTCATGAGGAAAAAAAGATACATGGTTTCCCCACTGCTGAATTTTCAGAGTAGCGCTTGCTAGACAAGGGGAAAGAAGGACAGATGGACACACTGTCTGAAATCCCATCCCATAAAAGACAGACATTATTTCCTAGCATTACCTCTACAGGAGTCAAAGGGATGGACACCTTAAATTAAGCCCCTCTTTATAATGCCACTGTCTCAGAAGGCACATTACCATCTCGGGGCTCTGGCTCTACTCCCCGGAACCGTCCTGCAGCACGGGCATCCACTAGTTGGAAGCGATGGGAATCCAAGTTATCTAAGACATCCTCATATGTTTTCACCAGGGACTTGTCCAAGGTGGCATGGAACTCAGATGGAGCTACCTGGGTTTTCCCAGAGCTAAGTGCATGCCCCTCTCGCTGCCAGTTCTTCAGGCCACCATCCAGAAGGGAGACAGCTTCATGTCCAAAGACACGGAACATCCACCACACCCGGGGTGCTGAGAAGAGACCTTGGTCGCTGCCATCATACACCACAACATGGGAATCATTCCCCACACCCAGCTTCCCCACATACTCAGCAAAGTCATTAGCCTTGGGCAGCATGTGATCGTAAGGCGAGGTTCGGTCACTGCACTGGTCAATGTCAAAGAAAACTGCACCAGGGATGTGGCGCTCCTCAAACTCTCGCTTCGGATCACGCTTCATCTTCGGCAAATACCAGGATGCATCCACGATTCTTAAGGCTAGGCCAGCTTGCTGGGACTTGATGGCTTCTGAAAGCCATTTTGCAGACACCAGAGCTCGGTAGAGGAGTTGTTGCGACATCGCTCCCGCGTCCTGGCTGAGACTAGACGATTTCTGGATTCTACCTGAGTCCACCTGACTGCAGAAGGTAAAGAGCCACAAATTAGAGAGCAGCCTTTCAAAAAGCAGCTGGATAAAGATGCGTTTTGGGACCCGTGTCTGCACTAAGGTGCTGGCTAAGCCTACAATGAGGGGCTTGAAATGCTCCAGCCCAAAAGTAGTTTCCCAAAGCACATCCCAAACAATGCCCCGAGCGGGACAGCCACGGCGGTCCTGCCCTGCGCCCGGCCCCACGCAGCTCCTCTGGCCCCATCCAGGGACCCCAGCCAGCACTGACAGCAGCCGCAGCGGAGCGGGGCAGCCCCGAGGACCAGGCGCTCGGCGGTGAGGCACGGCCCCTCGCCTCTGCCCGTCCCGGAG